AGATGGATTGACCAAATTCCAAATCAAAGCCCATAGGCCGTAGTAACTTTCCTTAAAAACCGCTTTTCGATATATGACCCCGTTTGACCTCGGCAGGTCAAAATGTGCAAATAAACGACACTCAATACGTCGAAGTCCGGATTCAGCCCAGATTCGGGCTGAATCCAGTCGTTTATTTGCACATTTTGACCTGCCGAGGTCAAACGGGGTCACATATCGAAAAGCGGTTTTTAAGGAAAGTTACTACGGCCTATGGGCTACCCGATGATGTGCTTTGATTTGGAATTCGGTCAATCCATCTACTCGAAAACTGCTGTGCAAGTGTATTTTCGACATAGCCCACAAATGACCTTAGGTCATCGCATGACCTTGAGAGGTCAAATGAGTGTTGGGAAAGTAAGATTAGATGCTGGCGATTCGATTGGTGCCATTTTAGCGCTCTAGCTCTACTGGGTGGGCCACAATCTACTGTGCAAATTTGGGCCACGTGACCTTTGCTGACCTCTGTAGGTCAAACGGCTGGGAGTGCCACCGAATGACTTGGACTGTGGATTGGGCATGTCATGGCCTACATTGTGTGCGAGTTTCAGCTTAATCGGAGGTGTCCCGAATCTGGGCTGAATCCGGGCTGAGACGTATTGAGTGTCGTTTATTTGCACATTTTGAGCTGCCGAGGTCAAACGGGGTCACATATCGAAAAGCGGTTTTTGAGGAAAGTTACTACGGCCTATGGGCTACCCGATGATGTGCTTTGATTTCGAATTTGGTCAATCCATCTACTCGAAAACTGCTGTGCAAGTGTATTTTCGACATAGCCCACAAATGACCTTAGGTCATCGCATGACTTCGAGAGGTCAAATGAGTGTTGGGAAAGTAAGATTAGATGCTGGCGAGTCGATTGGTGCCGTTTTTAGCGCTCTAGCTCTACTGGGTGGGCCACAATCTGCTGTGCCAATTTGGGCCACGTGACCTTTGCTGACCTCTGTAGGTCAAACGGCTGGGATTGCCACCGAATGACTTGGACTGTGGATTGGGCATGTCATGGCCTACATTGTGTGCGAGTTTCAGCTTGATCGGAGGTGTCCAGAATTGGGCTGAATCCGGGCTGAGACGTATTGAGTGTCGTTTATTTGCACATTTTGACCTGCCGAGGTCAAACGGGGTCACATATCGAAAAGCAGTTTTTAAGGAAAGTTACTAAGGCGTATGGGCTACCCGATGATGTGCTTTGATTTGGAATTCGGTCAATCCATCTACTCGAAAACTGCTGTGCAAGTGTATTTTCGACATAGCCCACAAATGACCTTAGGTCATCGCATGACCTTGAGAGGTCAAATGAGTGTTGGGAAAGTAAGATTAGATGCTGGCGAGTCGATTGGTGCCATTTTTAGCGCTCTAGCTCTACTGGGTGGGCCACAAACTGCTGTGCAAATTTTGGCCACGTGACCTTTGCTGACCTCTGTAGGTCAAACGGCTGGGAGTGCCACCGATTGACTTGGACTGTGGATTGGGCATGTCATGGCCTACATTGTGTGCGAGTTTCAGCTTGATCGGAGGTGTCCCGAATCTGGGCTGAATCCGGGCTGCGACGTATTGGGTGTCGTTTATTTGCACATTTTGACCTGCCGAGGTCAAACGGGGTCACATATCGAAAAGCGGTTTTTAAGGAAAGTTACTACGGCCTATGCGCTACCCGATGATGTGCTTTGATTTGGAATTCGGTCAATCCATCTACTCGAAAACTGCTGTGCAAGTGTATTTTCGACATAGCCCACAAATGACCTTAGGTCATCGCATGACCTTGAGAGGTCAAATGAGTGTTGGGAAAGTAAGATTGGATGCTGGCGAGTCGATTGGTGCCATTTTTAGCGCTCTAGCTCTACTGGGTGGGCCACAATCTGCTGTGCAAATTTGGGCCACGTGACCTTTGCTGACCTCTGTAGGTCAAACGGCTGGGAGTGCCACCAAATGACTTGGACTGTGGATTGGGCATGTCATGGCATACATTGTGTGCGAGTTTTAGCTTGATCGGAGGTGTCCCGAATCTGGGCTGAATCCGGGCTGCGACGTATTGGGTGTCGTTTATTTGCACATTTTGACCTGCCGAGGTCAAACGGGGTCACATATCGAAAAGCGGTTTTTAAGGAAAGTTACTACGGCCTATGGGCTACCCGATGATGTGCTTTGATTTGGAATTCGGTCAATCCATCTACTCGAAAACTGCTGTGCAAGTGTATTTTCGACATAGCCCACAAATGACCTTAGGTCATCGCATGACCTTGAGAGGTCAAATGAGTGTTAGAAAAGTAAGATTAGATGCTGGCGAGTCGATTGGTGCCATTTTTAGCGCTCTAGCTCTACTGGGTGGGCCACAATCTGCTGTGCAAATTGTGGCCACGTGACCTTTGCTGACCTCTGTAGGTCAAACGGCTGGGAGTGCCACCGAATGACTTGGACTGTGGATTGGGCATGCCATGGCCTACATTGTGTGCGAGTTTCAGCTTGATCAGAGGTGTCCCGAATCTGGGCTGAATCCGGGCTGAATCTGGGCTGAATATGGGCTGTCTTGATCAACATCATTTTTGAAGCTCTAGCCTCATTGTGTGCAAAACGTCCTAGATGACACAACTTATTAGCAAAAACGTAGTTTGACCTTAGTTGGCCTAAATTGACCCAAACCTAGCGTTCTTGCAGCTTACAAACACCAAGTAGATGTAAATCCAGCTAGCACAACACAAAGCACCTCTGATAATTTCGCTTCCAGCTACAGGGCCCGGGAAAGCCAGCAATCTTGCGACGTAAACCCAGCTGTCGTTTGCTCTTTGAATCTGACTATGTCGACTTAGTTGTTTTTGTTTTGTTTTTGCTCAGAGTTTGTTTGCCTAGTTCGTTGCACAGAGATAAGCAATTTTAAATATTTCTTTCATGTATGGTTGCTCTTTTGTCACTGATGAGGAGCTGTCACTGATGAGGCAATGAGCCTCCGTCTGGGAGAAGGCTATCACAGGGGTGGAGATCTCTGAATGAACCGGATCCGTCTCCTCTTTTTTTTCAGAGAGCTTACAGGTCCCGACGTTGGCGAGTGTATTCGCTTCTGCAGATGGATCCGGGTGTGTGTCATTTGCTGCGCCGGCTCAGTCCATAGCCTATGATGTAGCCTAGTTGCCGGGTCGGCAGTACTGCCGACATGGTTTTGAGTCCCGTCGCGGAAGCAGCGCATGAAAAGAACTGTCAGCGATTCGGAGACGTCTTTGACGGTGCTGATAGGCATGAGAGACAGCTACGCTGCATTCAATGGATATCTCGGCGAAAGCCTATACCTAAGTCTGAACGGAAACGAGGCTTATGACAAGCATGACGGCTGTGACTGCCTCAGTAATAGAGTCACAGATAACAAGCGGCGTTCGTTTCAATGGCTGGAATTTCGTCTGCAGCTACCAAAGACGGTGAATACCCTCCGAAACTCAGACAGGCATTTGGACGTTTCAATAAGGAGTAGAGCTGACGGGAAATGTCATTTGCTGGCCAGGGATGTTGAAATAGGCAATTGTATTGATGCCTCATATTCGATAGCCGCCCGACCGGTGATTGTTGACCAGATCAGCTCGCTCAGTCAGGTCAGATCAGTCTGCCGCTGACTCAGCCTAGTCCGCTGCTCAGTCTCCTAATGACCTTTGACCCAGTTCAGCTCACAAATGACCTTGGTCGGCTCAGTCCACTTATGATTTTTGACCCGGCTTAGTTCACTACCGAACTTTGACCCAGCTCAGTCCAGTAACGACCTTTGACCCGGCTCAGTCCACAAATGACCTTTGACCTGGCTCAGTCCACTAACGACCTCCGACCCGCTCAGCCCGCTGCTGTCTGCCGATACGGGGGCCTGCATGAAGGCGCGATCACCGGCCATCCGTCCTGCTGAGCGCCGATCAATGGCAGCACTCTCTGCACCGCCGCCGTGGGTGCTTCAGACACAGACTGGGGACATAATACTGTAACAATCGGAACGCTTGGTTCTCGGAATGTCTCCTGCCACGCCACTTGATCCATAAATCCTGAGATAATTACCCAGATACATGAACAACACTACAAACGAAGTTGCGGTCGCTGCTCAAATACAAATTACGTTTGTAATTCGCATTTACTTTGTTTGGATTTCATGGCTCATCGGACGTCAACGACGCAATTAAACGCCTATGGCTGCAATGAAATATAATGAATAATAAATATAATGATAATATAAAAACAGATTCATTGAAAAGAGCTCTTCTCTTCCAATTATGATTGAGGTAAGTTTAGCAAAGTTTAGCATATCCCTCAATACACTTGTTGGTGGATATCTAAGATATCTTTATCTACTGATATCTACAAATAACTAAACGTTGTAGCATCTCTCCAGCGCGGCGAAGGCAACTTGCGCCCCCAACCTCGGACTGACTACATCTTATTCCATTGGATAGCATGGTCGGGCCGCATCTCGTTCTATACTGTATACGTTGTGTGAGTGGGCTACATCTCATTCTACTGGAATGGAGCGGGATGTGGGTGGGCTTTATCTATTGTTCTGATATGGTGAGGGCGTGGTGCATCTCATTCTACTGGATGGTGCCGGGTTTCTGCACTCAATTCTACCGAATAGCGTGGGTGAGCTGCAACATACTCATACGGGACCTCCTATGGGATCAATGGCATAATGGGGACCGGCGGCAGCCGACCAGGTCATAGAAACACTGTCCTGGTCTGGTCGTGAGGACCGAACCCGCTGCATGCACGGGCCGCTCCGACCAGACACAAAAACTGCGGCCGGTAGCCGGTGTAGCCTCGGTAGATGGATGGTCGGCGGTGGAGGTCCGAGTGTGTCAGCCAGTTTTTCACTCCCTTGGCTGACGCCGCTCAGTGTGATAGCGGCATCCCTCTGAGCCTATGACATCGGTCATCGTGTCACCTGCCCCCCCCCTCAAGTCCCCCTCCAGAGCCCGCTGACCCAGGTCGCCGTGTTGCAGACGCGCCGGTGGTCTCACTGCAGCTCGGCCGCAGTCTCGACCCAAACGTCATCAAGGAGGGCAACGACGTCTACTTCGAGTGTGACGTCGAGGCTAACCCTTCTCCGGGGCACATCAGCTGGTTCCATCAGGTAAGCAAATGCCGGGACGCCAAAGTCCCGCCCGAGAGCATGCTAAAGCGCCCAGCGCCCTACTAAAATATACAATTACAATTACACGAATACGATTCGTGAATTTCACTTTCGGAATTTAGTCCGCCTAATCAGAACGGCGACACCAACATTACACAACATTCCTTTTTTTTGCATCGACTCCTTCCCTCATTCCTTTCGTCCCCAACGGTTTGGTGGTTTTCGACTGATTTGCTGATTTTACGTCTCACCATACGTCAGTGAAATGTGGTTGCATGTTACGAAGCGACTGGAACCGACCATGATGGGTCCCATTGAGGATGCGCTGGCAATCAGGGGCCCGCACGCCCTGCATTGACCCTGCAGCTCGTGGCCTAATAGTGGAGGGGCACATGGCGTGAGGGCTGCTAACGTTCCGTGACTGATGAGAAGGTCAGCTCGGCGACCTGGCGCAACTGTGGGTGAATTCTGAGTGAAAATGTCCACGGGGAAGCAGTGATTTGTATTGTATGTCAATCGCACACCAAATTGTTGACATTCTTATGCCAAACCGATATCAAATTGTTAGGTATTTGGCTATTAGAGCCCAAGTTTTTATATTGCTCTTTTTATAAATCCTCCTTCGTCTATATCAGGTGTTCTGAATTCCATGCATTGGCCTCACTCACCATTTCTATAGCTAGCTCGGTTTAATTATTTCCATAGTTAAGTTGCTGTTTGGTTTAGTTTGGGTTCCCCAATTTCCTGAATTGACATCACTAACCACCTAGCCCGCCCGCCTGTCACTGACCATTGGAGCAGCGCTAACATTCTTCCCACCGGCACACCGGACCAATTCAATAGAGCTATTCGGTGAATGTCGGCCCGCGCGCGTATGTAGTCGATCGTCAGTTTCACTGGGGTAACAGACGTGCTAAAAGTCCCAGAGCGAGTCCATTTTACCAAATGACTGAGACACTTCGATATTAACTGCACTCCGCATGGATGTGGAATTCGTTGGTAATGAACAAAGCTATTCGTGCGTGAATAATTATACTAAATAAATAAATATAGCCAGATGGCATACAGAGTGCGGCGAATGGATTGCTATCGCGGAAGCATGTTAACTGGGTTATTAATACGTTGGCTATTATTTCCGCCCGTTTGTAGTTTATACATTACGTCCCTGGATGCTATGCTGATGACAGCCGAATTATGCTCCGCCTTCCTGTCCCGCTGATAAGATTGGTTCAAATCGTTTGATGGAGAACGTCAGTGGCGAACGCAAAGGCAATTACGTTGCTAATTAGGTATATTATTTCCCGTGTGTGCTGCTGGAGATCGGTCTTTACGTCTTTTTAGTGTATGTTTCGTTCAAACGGCTGAATGGGTGGAAGTGACTACGTTACGTGTATTGACGTAAGCCTCATTGTGAGTCGTGAGACACTATAACTTTATGATCACATAAAGAAGGGATGTAAGCATGTAGGAAGTAAGGCCTCGACACATACAGCTTGACTACGACGACCGGTTCCAGCGTTTTGTACAGTGTGGATATTTATTTATTTTGCTGATCTAGGTCATTCCGGTCTGGTTAGATTAGTTCCGGGCCGTAGGATGAGGTAGCGGAGGCATTTGCCTCGGTCGAGCACCGGCTGGATGCGCTGCTGCAGCTGAGCCCGTGTCCCGTGAGACAGGCACGTCACGGTGAGACACAACACCTCACCATGTACACAGTCACCCTGGAAGGGTATACCCTCCATAAGGGAACCGTTCTTATTGGCTGCCTGGGCAGTGGTACGGGTGACTGCTGCAGTGTGAGTCAGTCGTTTATGCGCCGGTGACCACTGCAGTTCGGACGCCCTAAACCTCCAAATCATCATCATCATCATCATCATCATCAACATGAAACAGTTGTGGTCGGCGAGGGATACCTAAGAATGTGCTGGTTGAAATGGTTTAAGATGGATGAGTCGGATATTGGTTGGTTTTATTTCGCTCTCCTGCCGCCGATTGGTGACTTCGACCGTTCCGTTCCATTCCGTTCCGTTCCGTTTCGTTCCGTTCCGTTCCGTTCCGTTCGTCACGTTGCGCTCGACTGGTTAGGTGTAAGTCGGATATGCATGGACTGGATGGATTGCCGATAGACTGACAGCCGAAATGGTCCGCTCAATGGCAACAGATGTCTGAGGGCGGCCCTACACACACTGACTGATGACAGAAAAAGCCGAGTGACTGAGCGATCCCGCTCGCCGGAACCGCGGACAGAATCTTTTGTGTGGGTCGGAACCATGCCTCAGCGCATATCAGTTGTTCCCAATGCAGCCATGTGAGGCGATAGTGGCCTCGCATTGGGTGACTGATGGTGGTAACATCTGTCTAGGCGTTAGCCAATGGCCGATAAACATGCCTACTGCAGGGAACGGGCCGTGCCGTCTCGCGGACGATAAGTTGGCCGAGGGAAAGAATGGCATTGGCAGCCGGGAACTGACACTATCCGTCACCCGCAGCGTTCTCGGCAGCGGTACATATCAATTTGGTGCGGAGTAACGAATGTCGCATGGATAATTCATTTGGGCATGAACGTGCCTCGTTTTCCTTTCTCCCGAGGAAAGATGGAAAAGGATTCCTCTGATGAGATGACCGGCGCGATTATGAAGTTCCGGTTCAAGGCGCATCGGTTCTCTCTTCTTTCCGACTCCTATAGACGGCTCTGGAATGTGTCCTGCCGTAATGCAGTGTGAGTGGTCATGTTCAAGATCAGACGAACTAAGCTCAGGCCGGGCTAATCAGCACTGCCGTCCCATGTGAGTGCACAACGTAAAGCCCCCGCGAATGTCGTTGACAGTGACGTTAATGAGGCTTACGTAACTGCACTGTGTAGTCAGATAGCACTGCAGTGGAGCCGACTTTGTGCTTCCTCAGAGCAGCGCATCAGGTTTCTCCCATAACTAGCGTAACGACCATAACTGGGGGTTAGGTTTCTCCTATTCAGGGCAGCGCATTGAGCGTTGACGGGTAATGGGTAGGTATTCACTCATACAAGATATTGGATGATGTGTAACCGGCCGGATGCGTCTGTTGAAACTATTCTTGCCGGCGTTGCTAGAAGCAGACATGCAATATCACCGTATACCTGTAGCTACCAGTTTTGTGACCAATTGATAGTGCCCGTGATTTATTCCTATTTTTGAGATAAGGACAGCACTAAAGGTAAACGTTCCCCACTCCCATGCATGCTTGCATTGAAAGGTTTCATAAGCATATTTGTGCCATGGATTGAAGCAATTTAGTAACTCTGATAGTATACTGCAGGTGCCCGGTGTAGTGGTCAGACCTGCCCGTTGGCGCCAGCTGCTCTCCCGGCTCGCCCTGCACCTGTAGCGCGGCAGTGATCTCCCCGATCGGCCTGCCAGTGCCGGCGGGCCGACTGCCGACTGCGCAGCGATGCTCGCCTCCGATACCGCCCTCCCTCCGCTCGGTCCCGGCCGCCAATCAATGCGCCATTTGTTACGGCGGCACTGGGCGCTGCGCTCACAGAGCGAGACGGGAGCACCTGTACGAGTCGGCAGAGCGCTGCTAAATTCCGGCAACTGCTCAGCACGACAACTGCTCGGCACACTGTTATCCCGGATACCGTGAGGGACTCAACATCTCGGTAACCGCGCGAGACACTATGCTCGTACCATCCCGGCAACCGCACGGGACACTATAACCATCCCGGCAACCGCACGGGACTCTATAACCATCCTGGCAACGGCGCGGGACGCTGCCAATGCACTGCGTGGAACTCTAAAACACCGGCAGCCGCGAGGAGCACTGCACTTTCCCGGCGGCAAGGAGTGACATTGCTCCCCAGCAGCCACCTGTAGGGGAAAGTGGGGTAATTTGGCCGGTGGTGTAAATTGGCCGCCCCCACCTGTACGATGTCTAATAAAAGTGAGTGAAATAACTCTAGTCTCTATTCATTTGTCATGGGTAGAAATAACTGGAGGACAAATGTCAAAACTTTGCCCCTCGTAGTTTTATTTAAAATAATAAAACGTTAATTTCATTAGAAAATGGTAACTTTTACTTCTGTTTACAAAGTTGTATAACATGTAGTATTTGGGCTAAAAACGAATTCAGACATTATAGCGCCATTCTTGGGGGTGTTCAGCGGTTCCAAGAGCAATTTCATCTAATTCCGTATAGCCGTGATGACTTTATACACAAAAATTTTCAGAATGGCAATATGGGGTAATTTGGCCGGGACTAGCGGGGCAACTTGGCCGGTGCGCTCATGGTCACTATGCTGGGACGGCCGAGTTTTCATGGTCAATTGTACCATAAATGACATAATTCATGACCAACTTTGACTACTTTGATGCCTTACTTCCGATTGGTCAACTGTAAGAGCATGTGACGTCATCAAAGGTTACCAAACGTTTTTTGCTAATAAATCCTTACATAAAAATGGTACAGCCGCACAAATGGTCTCATTCTGTTCAGCTCGCCAAGGCGCATCGAATGATACGCATGATGACCTTGAAATCACGTGACCTTGAGGTCAAGCGACCTGAGGTAACGTGACCTGAGGTCAACCTTTGACCTTGACTTCTCGAGGTCAACACATATATGTTTTGATGCGGAATGACGAGATAATTACGATGGTACTCGAAGTTTTGGCCTAGCTTGATTACTTCAAAAGTTATTCGTAAAAAACTGTCTTCGCATCTAGAGCCGCTAATTTGGCTATTTTGACCCCTGTGACCCCATGAGTCAACCTCCAAAATGTGGTAAATGCGTCATAGGACACACGTCATTGCTGAATCTGAAGCTGACTCGCAATATAACAGAAAATCCTGACCGCAAACTAACACCGGCCAAATTGCCCCACACCCCGGCCAAATAACCCTGCTAGTGGGGCAATTTGGCCGCCTTGCAGACCTTTGTAATACGTCACAATTTCAATATAAGTAATTACTCTATCATTTCAAGTTCACTGTCCAGTAAAGTAAAATGAATGCGACACCTGCCAG